TGAATAAAGTGAAAAAAAAAATGATTTTTGTTCGAAAGCTTTTTAGGGCATGTGCGCTAAATTGACTTGGCTTCTAATCAATGACAAGCACCATTAGAGGGGGAAAATCGTGAGAATAAGTCCCAAGTCATCGGCACATTGCGGTCGCCTCTTCCAACTGCATAAATTAATTATTAAATACCTACCGATATTAAATTCCATTGATTCAATAAATAATGTATGAAAAAATTTTAATTTCAATACTTTCAAATATATTCGTGAATTTGATATTAATATAGGAATAAATCAATATTTGATTACATATGAAGTATAATCAAAATGTCAACCATACGAGTGCTAGCTTATTTTTTATTTATAACATTTCATAAATATTTATTAAAAATTCTATTAGCAATTTCATAAAATTAAGACTTACATATTTGATATCTTGCCTTAGAATATTTATTTCATTAATATAGTTTCTATTTTATATTTAAAAGTAATATTTTTGTAATTCAATAAATTGTAAATAATTTTTTTTATAGAATCGAAACAAAGAGGAATATCAATATTTCAAGAGATATATTAAGTGTTTTGTCATTAACACTTAAAATGAGAATTAATAATTAATTTAGGATAAGGGGATATTTTTCCTTTTTTAAAGATTAAAAAGAAAATTTTAAGATGGTCCGTTCTTATTTTGGTAAATTAAGACTCATTTATAATTGGCAGTAAATATAAATAATAAAATGGAGGGAAAATATTTTATTCCCCTTGGTTTTCTGTTGACAATAAACGCAGGCTAATCCGTCTCCGTTGATCCAAAGTCCCGGTTCCACTTTCAATGAACAACAGCCCGGGTTCATCGATCTTCGTACCACCAAAACGACGCCATTTTGAACATCCCACAATAAGTCGAGTGAGTCCAGAATTTAAGTCAAATTCACCTCCTTCTCTCCTTGCAACTTCCTGGCTGCAACAACACTCCGACTCCCCATGAATCATCCCACTTCTTCAATGGAATTTTCCAGCGATCCACTTCCGATGACTATGATCGGAAACGGTGGCCTGCTGGTTCCGTTGCAAAACCTCTCGAAGATCCGTTCCAGAATGGATGCCGTCCAAATATTCCTATCAGATAACATCGACAGAGAAGTTCGTATTAGCAATCAGCAGATGGATGCCGTTTCATCTGAAATCGCCACTGCAATCCAACAGATCATCGTCAACGGCGCCGCTCTTCTAACCTGCGCCCGAGAGGAAACCCCGAGTACGCTGGATTTGACGGCTTTGACGACTCTAACTCATCCGAATCCTGTAGCAGAGAAATCAATGGCGGAGCTGAAGGTCGAGGGAGATGAATTCGAGCCGGATAGGGAAATAGTGGAGTTGGATGCGATGGAATTGCTAGCGGAGCACATCCATTTCTGCGAAATCTGCGGGAAAGGGTTCAAGCGCGACGCGAATTTGCGGATGCATATGCGTGCCCATGGGAATCAATTCAAGACCCCAGAGGCGTTGGCGAAGCCGTTGGATATTGTTGGTGCGAACTGCAGGGCGAAGCAGAGTCGGTTTTCTTGCCCTTACGACGGTTGTCCGAGAAACAAAATGCACAAAAAGTTCAGAGCACTGAAGTCGTTGATTTGCGTAAAAAATCACTTCAAACGGAGCCACTGCCCGAAGATGTTCTCCTGCAATCGTTGCAACAAGAAGAGTTTCTCTGTTATGGCCGACTTGAAGAGCCACTTGAAGCACTGCGGTGAGTCCAAGTGGCGGTGTTCGTGTGGAACGACCTTCTCCCGTAAGGACAAGTTGTTTGGTCATATGGCGCTGTTCGAAGGCCACATGCCGGCAGTGGCGGATGACGACGATGGAAAGGGGAAAACATCCGTCACGGCGGCAACGCCGGAGACGGATGAAGATGGAGACTCTAATCGAATTTCGAAGGATGTTAATCACCCAAACGCGTGGAATGGTTCGGATGATGGATGTTTCGAATCATTTCTGGATGGGTTTGGTTCCATTGAGAATCACTGTTTGCAACAGGTGCTGGGACTCCCATGTAATTTCGATTCGGAATCGGAATGGAAAATTTGTGGTTTTTGAGGTCTGTTCAGAGATCTGTATATACGAAATTCTTTGCATATATATGGAAAATTTGATTCATTTGCCTTCTGATTATTAGATTCTTCTATATTGAAACTGGATTCTTGGATCGACTACTACTCTGTATCAAATTAAACACGAAATCTATAGTTGTGTAAAAAAGTTTGTTTTCATAAATCCTGTGACCATTTTACTGTGGGAGGGGAAAAAAGGTGTAAAAGTAGTTGTGTAAAAAAGATATTTAGGTAAGGTAAAAGGATATTTGGAAGGCAGGTTCTTGGAACAAATACCTTAACTACAAAAAGGACATTGAATTTGGTGGAGGGGTAGCAAGAACGAAGCATGCGTGTGTGAGAATGGATGGAGTTTCACGAGGATCACAACCCCACCAATAACTATCTGCAACGTAGTTTCCAAGTCTACATATCTTCTGGAGCTAATAAATATCGCATCATTAACAGAGAACCAAAGCACCCCAACTCGTTAAAAGATATAGATTCAATCTTCAGATCTTTTGCAAAAGCTTGTGATTTTTGTGAAAACCGTGAAGCTTTACCTCTCCCAAACTAGATATAAATAATGGTCATTCCCGCAAGCCCACAGACGAAAACGATACATTATTTTAGAGAACTTTTTTTTAAAAAAAGTCGGATGTCTGTCTCTTTGGAAGCTCTGGCAATGGCCGGGATGGACTCCGGCGAGTGGGGCATAGATGTTGAGGAATGGGAAACCCAAGACTTGGACCGCTGCCCTCCCCCGTATCTCCTCGCCGAAGAACGAGACGACGATGAAACTTCAGAACAACCAAGTCGTTCTGAGCCACCGTCGCACAGTCGCCGGCGATCATGATGCCAGTTTAACTATAAGTCATCGTCCAATCTTTTTCTGGGTTTTTTTTTTTTTTTTTTTTTTTTTGGGCATGATTAGTATATATATATATACACACATATTGTATGCGCTGGAGAAGGAAATGGGAAAATAAACGACGAGCTCCCCATGAAGGAGGTGCACATTTTGAATATGTATATATAAGTCAATATTTCTACTTTAATTATTTCTGATCAATTTAATTTTCAGCCATATTTCTCTCTTTAATTCCCTCAAGCCTAAACGGATTCTGAATAGCTTAAAGAAACTAATAAAAATAGATATTTAAAAAAAAACAAAAAAAATTAAAGCCGGTATCTCTTCAATTGTTGAAAGACAAATTTCTCAAATCGTGTTTGGAATTAAATTAAATTTAAGTATTGATTATGAATACGATGAGAAATTTGAAGATAAATTTTGATTTTATATGCCTTTATTTCTTATCCCAAGTTGTTTCTTTACTAAAATTCATCAAAATCCTAAATATTAAGAATATATGATTTGTAGAAATTGATTTATATTATGTGCAGTGCAAGGAATTTAAACATAACACTTATCATATCCATCTTACAAATTATAAGCTGAATATTTATTTAAGAGAAAAAAGAAAACCAAACAAAACAAAACAAAAGAAACGGAGAGTTTGCCCAGGAAAGCCAAAGGACGAGATTGGTTCTATTTTTGGAATGCACTTTCGTTTTGTCTGTCCCACATCGGTGAAGTCTTAAAGAAGCAAAGCGCGCACCACCTATAAAATGAAATCAACGGGCTACGATGAAACATACTTACCTGGACGGGGCTTTTGGGTGACCATGAAGATCCATAGCCTAGGTTGGTGACCTCCACTGCACTTCGGAGGGGTGCCCGCCTAAGGTCTGTCCAATGTGGCAGAGCCTACGTCATAATTTGTGGCAGTGGGGGCCTGCGTACGCGCGGCCCCTTCCTTAGTTATGGTTACTAATACTTGTCATTGCTTGGGGAAGGTGGGAGGAGGTGGAAATGGGGCATCAAGGAAAGGGGTGGAAAGGAGAGATGGCGACGGGGTTGCCCAGTGAATGATGTAATTCAATTGCTTTTATTTAGGGTTGCATGAAAATGTTTCATACCTCGGACCGTCAACTTCACGGAAACCTTGAGGATTATTTCAAGGGCCAAATTTGACAGTTAACTGGGTATGGGTATCCAAAAGAAGGTTACCTTTTCATGTAGACAGTGACATCATTTGGAACTCGGTTCAAGCATTCGCAAGAATCTAATTGGGTATGTGTGCATTATTTAGCTTAGCAAATTGCGATATGGCAGTAGATGATCAAGGTGTTCTTACTGTGTTCATTGTGCACGGCTTTGATGTTTACATACATGTGTAGAACTCTCTGTTGAAGTCAATTTTCAAGTTTGTACAATCGGTTTACATTTTTTTATGGTGTTTTTGAGCTCAAGCACTCTAAAACATTTAATAATTGTTGCGTGGAGAACATTAGGAAATGAATAGAAAGGACTCAAATTGATATAATCAGTCCTGTAATTGCTTAGTTTATACCCATTCTTTAGAAATAAATAGTCAAAATCAAATATTTGACCTGGAAACTTGATTCTCTTTCAATTGTAACAGTTCCATTTTTATTTGTTTGTTTAGATTCTTATAACTTATTCTGCATAACTTAGACCAACAAAAGAGAAAGAAGAAAAAAAAGATGCACGAGAGAATGAGGTATCCATATTAAATTTAAAATATGGATAACATGTGAGGGTTCTAATTTTGAAATCAATGAAGTGGTTTGACCAAAAGCAGTGACCCAATCTTAACTATGATACTCTCGTATCTTCATATGTTTGTGTAGTCCATTTACATATTTATATATATATATCTGAATGAATTTATTATTTATAGAAGTAATTAAAATTTCTGCTGAATTGCTTTGACCAAGTATTGTTGGTTCTTCATCAATTATTTCTTGAAAAAAATGTTGAGAAGGATTTTAACGAGTCTAATGGTAAATAAAATTTTAAAATATAATGGGTGTGCCTTTTGTTCTATATAACCATTTAGCTTTCTGCCGACTCCCACTCATCCCCAGAGCGTCAGTCCAAATTTCCATTGCCGGAGAGTAAATTCCATCCATTTCTCATACAATTTTCAGGATTTCAATTTGTTCCTGTTCTAGTATAATGGCTCAGTGTTTTAGGTATGGATCGATCATGGAGGCGTGGTACCGTTCCTGTTTCTCCAGAGTGGGTCTTAGATCCGCCACCACCGATCTCGGAAACGGCACCGTCATGCACTGCTGGATCCCCAAAACCCGCAGAGAAACTAAGCCCAATTTGGTTCTGATCCATGGCATGGGAGCAAATGCAGTGTGGCAGTGGAACAAATTCGTCCGCCCACTCATCGCCCACTTCAACATCTATGTCCCTGACTTGGTCTTCTTTGGGGAATCCTACACCACCCTTTCCGATCGCTCCGAGGCATTTCAGGCTCGGTGTGTGATGGGTGTTTTGGATGCTCATGGAGTACGGACTACAAACGCGGTGGGGATAAGCTATGGTGGGTTTGTGGCTTATAGCATGGCTGCACAGTTCCCTGATAGGATGGAGAAATTGGTGCTCTGTTGTACTGGTGTTTGCTTGGAAGATAAAGATATGGAAGATGGGATGTTCCAGGTGAAATCCGTCGAGGAGGCAGTGAGCGTCTTGCTTCCTCAAACGCCGGAGAAGTTGAAGGAAATGATCCGTATTGCGTTTTTCAAGCCTATTAGAATTGGACCCTCTTGCTTGGTCAACGACCTTATCGATGTTAGTAATTCATCATTCAGTTTATTTCTCTGATTTTTCTGACTAACATTCGCATCTTATGAATGGGTTTATGCCAAATTCATGTCTTTCTTGGTTATCTCTTTGTGCCAAGCATTGATCTGAAACAAGTTCAGTTTTGTTTCAAGGATTTTGAAAACTATGTTGACTCATCCAAATTGCTTACTTTAAAATGACATTTGGCTGTGCTGTAGGAACTGTGTACCGAGTACCGTGAACAAAAGAAGGAGCTGATCCAAGCATTGCACAAGGAAAGGAAGTTCTCAGATCTTCCCAAGATTACTCAGGTTTGTCTGATTAATTATATATTAGAAGATTTCAGAGTTTAGATGTGCTTTTAAAATTTGTTCCACTCTTCTGACTGGCTGATTAACAATGGATGCAGCCTACACTGATAATGTGGGGAGAAAAGGACTTGGTATTCCCCATGGAATTGGCACACAGACTCAAAAGGTGAATCTGATGAACTTGTGTTAATTCTTGTTTGGGTTTATCTCTGCATTCTGGTGTGTTTCGAGTTAAGAACTGAAAATTTAGTTGGTTCTTTTGGGTAATATCTTCAATTTTGCTATTGATTTCTACAGCCACATAGGTGATGGTGCGGAACTAGTGGTGATAAAGAAAGCAGGGCATGCTTTAAATATAGAGAAGCCCAAGGAGATGAACAAGCTTATTCAGTGTTTCCTTGTTGATGCTCACCAATCAAGCCAGGCCAAAATTCACCACCAAAATGATCCCAAATCTGAGTGAAAGTTTCTACTGAAATTGCGAATGGATCTCCCCCGGAGCTTTCAATTTCTCTGCTTCAGTCCCAACTTCATGGTGGCGTTCAGCTGCCGCCGCCGCTGCTTCTACTTTTATGTTATAAAATTAGTGTATATTACCACTTTGTAGTTAATGTAATGAAGTTTTATAATTGTGAAAAGGTGAGGAGCTTTGCGAAGATTCTACTGTATACGAACTGCATAAGAGTCGTAAATCCTGCTTCAGTTCCTTATGGTTCTCTTATTATCCATTGGTTCATTGCACTGGGTTCCCTCTGCTTTCTTATTATCCATTGGTTTATTATTATCAACTGAACTAAGATCAGTGTGTTCACATAAACCACGTTATTTGATAAATTATTTGTTGAACGAAGAACCTTTAAAAAGAATGGAATCAAAAGTTGTCAAGTTGATACTATAATACAAGAGGGTAGGATTGAAAAAATATTATAATCAGCCAGACTTCCAAGTTTCATCACAAACAACGGTCACAGCCTGCTTATTAAAAACTAAAAAGAAAGGCAAAGAAGTCCGTCGAGCACCACCACCACCCCCAAATTTTATATTATTTTTGTTTCAAACTTTGAATATACCTTTCTTTTTCCTTTTATTTAATTTTAAGGTCAACAAATTTGGGAACGGTCGGTCAAGAACTTATTTATCTTCTTATTTTGATCAATTCTTTAGACTATAATGACGCAATATAAAAGTTATAAAATTATATTTTTGTTTAAACCTAACGATGCTATTTTGTCTTCTTTTCTTGTTCGTCCTGTCTCTCAATTATTGTCCCTAAACTATTATCCACTTTCTACTTTGATCTTTTAATTTAGAATTAATTGGCAGGCCATGGATTTGCTATCTGGCAACTGACATTAATCCAATCTTTAATTTATTTCTTCAGGATTTTTAGTCCAATCTTTTCTTTGATTATTTTTCTAAAATCACTCTTGTTAATACCGCATAGATTCAGGGGCAGAGCAAATGTCAAAAGTTCAAGGAAATGAGTAATAATTAATCCAAGAGCATGTATAAACTAAGCTCTGCAATATGTTTCTCTGCATGACTAATTTGCTTAAGCTAACTAATTAACATAAAAGTGTTCCTTAATCAATCTATTGAAATTACCGTAGGATGAACCACCGACATCAGTTGAATGTTCTGCTTTCCTTTTCCACTCTTCAGCATTTTGCCGCAACTCCTTGCCTTTGTCTCCTTCCATAATTTCCTTCAGAATTGCTATAATGTCTGTGCGCTTTACGTCATCGTTCAGTTCCATGCCAATGCCCCAATGGACGCAAGCATATCGAGTATTTGGTTGTTGATCTGCAAAGAATGGCCAGCATATCAATGGCACGCCCCCGCATATGCCTTCCAAAGTAGAATTCCAACCACAGTGAGTGAGGAAAGCCCCAACTGATGGGTGTGCCAGAACTTGCTCTTGCGGACACCAACTTGCTAGAAATCCCCTGTTCTTCGTTTCTTCTAAGAAATCTTCAGGTAAAATAGCTGCATCACCCAAGACCATATCAGGCCTCAGTACCCACAAAAATGGCTGCTTACTCTCTGCCAGTCCCCATGCAAATTCTCTCAACTTTTGGTCCGTCACCGTGGTTAAGCAGCCAAAACTTACATACACAACAGATTTAGGGGCCTGTGTATCAAGCCACTCGGGGCATTTTTGGTCTTCCTTCCACACACTCAATCTTAATGGCTTCAAATGGCTTTCAGTTACTTCTTTGCTTAGTAAGGATAAGGGACCAACTGTGTATATTTGGGGAAACTTTGTTGAAATTGCTTCTAACACATCATGTTCAAGCTCGTCGAATGTGTTGAAGATGATAGCAGAAGAACTAAAGCAGTTTCGGGTTTCCGATCCCATGAAATCAAACATTACGTCATCTATGTTTGTAGTTCTGATGAAACTTGGGAGGTCCCTCAGGCGGATGTTTTTCATTCCCGGGATCCAGTTGATGGGTGTGTCAAGTGTACCATCGCTCAAGAATGTTTCATCTGGAAAAGAAATGGCAATTTTCTGGGATGAATAAAAGCTTAAACCAGGTTTTTCAGATAAGATGATGATTTTCTTTCCAAGTAAAATTCGAACAGTAATATGTCCATGGCTATATTGAACTAAACCAAAACAATAATCATAATCAAACTTTTAACAACTAGTTTATCGCCACTCTGTAAATTCATGGACATCGCAATACATGATAAAAGTGTAGAAGCCTCAGGAAAGTTCATACCTTTGAACGGCAGAATTCCTCTTTGAATAAGCTCATCAAAATACAGATACCCCATGAAGCCACAAGCAGAAGCAGTCCAAAACTGAACCTCTGGAATCCCCAACTCCTCAGCAGCCTTTATAGCAAAGCTCAAGACCCCATCAGCAATTATACAGCTTATTGAAGGTACCTCGACCGAGGAATTCAACCCAGCCACCAACTGTTTGAATGGGTTCAAAAAGTTTCTCCTAGTTGAATCACAGAGAGTCGGAACATCTGGGGAGGCTTTGCGTTCAGATGGCGGCAATCCGTCTGGTATGATCCGGAACTGGAAATCGGATAAGCCCTTCATGACATCAGGTCCCTGGGAGTGCCTTATGTGGTCGTGATAGAACTCGGGGATGACAAAGGTTATGTGGAAACCGTTTGAATGAAGAAGCTTGGCTAATTGCAGAAGAGGCAACGTGTGCCCTTGCTCTGGATATGGGATGCACACTGCATGAGGTTTATCCGCCACTGACTTGCTCATCTCGATCAACGAAGATGAAAAGCTTCAAGACCTCAATTTCGAAGAACTATGTTTTGGGTTATCGTAGTACTAACGAGGATATTCATGGGGAAAAAGTATCAGTGAATAAGACTTATCGGGAATGAACAGTACTTATGCCACGCTAGGCTAATTCTTTGATCGAGTATCAGTCAATAAGACTTACCGTTACGCAGCTTCATTCTTTGTTAATTTAGTTGAACAGCTTTCCGTTGATATACCACCGACTCCACCGCCAAAACAATCCTAATCCCCAGTCCGCCACCTCACGAAAAAAGAAACGGAAGCTATGACAGCAGGCATTCACTTGAGATCTTAAAGCAATAAAGACAGCAGGCATTCACTTGAGATCTTAAAGCAATAAAATTGGAAGCTATGAGTCAGATTCCTGATAAGTGTATGCCAAAGGGTGAATTAGTTGGGCACCTGAGAAGGCTAATAAGTCCAGCTCCTCCTGTATCAACTAACCTTGACCGTCGACCAATGCACAATGTCTAAACAGAGGCATGTTATGATGCCGATTCTGGTAGTGCATTCAAAATATTAATTTTCTAGAAAGGAATAGGATTGGAAAAATAAAATAATTAAATCTTGTCATTCAAATATACATGTACACCTGTACATTGTGGAAATGCCAAAACAATCTCAGCAGAAAAAAATTTCATAGGGAAGCTCCTTGGTTATTTAATCAATTCAATGTTGTAAACAGTTTTCTATCTTGTAGTGGCAACTTTTTGTAGTAGAGCGTCGAAGTCCGTCAATCTGCATTTATTGTGCCAAAACCAAAACGAAGAATAATGCCAAGGGATTAAATAAAGAACACAACATAATAGATTAACTTAATTAGCTTACGTACCTTATATCACTCAAGTCTGGATAGGTTGCTATCGCTTCTTTAAAATCCTAATTTCAATAAATCCAGATAGTGTCACCATTAGGGTTATACTTGGCCAAGTTTTGAGATAAGGGAAAACATATTGTTTTCGATCTACTTGTGAGCCTGGAAACATAACACATAAACTTCGGAGCGAATTCTTACCTGATTAGCTGTGGAAGTTGTGTAGGTTATGACACATTGCATTCCAGCCTTTAAAGGGAAATTAGTTAAGGATGTCTGTGGATATTAGTGGGGCGTGTAGTATGGTAGTTCAGCGTAGGTGTAGACCTGGATACTGCGCTTGGGAAGGGTTTGTTAACAGCTTCGTATTCGAGCAGGAGATAGAAGATGGGAAGTATTTTGTGTTAGACGAACACGACTCTCCACAATGGTATGATATTGTCCACTTTGAGCATAAGCTCTCGTGGCTTTGCTTTGGGATTCCCCAAAAGGCTTCATACCAATGGAGTTAGTATTCCTCACTTATAAACTCATGATCATTCCCTAAATTAGTCAATGTGGGACTTTCATCATCCAACACCTCCCCTCGAACAAAGCACGCCTCGCCTTAATCGAGTCTCAAACTCCTTTGGAGTCTTAGTCATTTTTTACTGCCTTCATACCTTCGAGGAGGTTTGACTCCTTTTTTCTTTTTGGAGTCCTTTGTTCGACATTCGAGGATTTGCCAATCTATTGCCACGACTAAGTTTAGGACATGGCTCTGATACCATATTAGACGAACACGACTCTCCAATTTGGTATGATATTGTCCACTTTGAGCATAAGCTCTCGTGGCTTTGCTTTGGGTTTCCCCAAAAGGCTTCATACCAATGGAGTTAGTATTCCTCACTTATAAACCCATGATCATTCCCTAAATTAGCCGATGTGGGACTTTCATCATCCAACATTTTGTAATGGAATAATGTTCTACGGAGAGGTTACCACCTCTCGAATAGGCTGGGTGTAGGGCTATTTTGTAATCGCTTTGCTGCTCGTTATTATCAATACAAATAGTAAGGTAGTCATCCTTACAAGTGGTATCAGATAACATAACAAAAAAATTTATATAAAAATTTTGTTTTCATTCTCCAAGTACTCAATGTATAACATAATAGCTAAACAATTGATATACCTGCAAGCCAATATCACTGTCCTCAACCACCAGGCAATCCCTTTCTAACACGCCTAGCTTCTGCAATGCATATGTCACAGTAAAAAAAACAATGCACGCCCGCTGCATGTCAAAAGAAGAAGGCTTCAAAGTCCTGAGCTATGTATTAGTTACTTTTGAAGCTGTTATATAAATGGATGGATCAGGTTTTTTTTTCCTTCACATCATCACCTACAAGATACAAAAGAACCTAAAAATGAATTGACCAGCAGGACTAACTGAACTAAAACAAATAATATCATCATTGATTTTCAAGGCAACCCTATTAGTTATAAGACAGGACTACGGAACCATTTGTAGTTCATCCACTGCATGAGTGGACATTCAATTATCCTACAGAAAAGGCTCTGATACAT